TTCACAAATGCATAGATCTGAAACAACTGAACCAAGCTGTGAAAAGGGTGAGACATCCTTCCTCCTGTGGATGATATCCTTCTGTGATTTGCAGGTGCTTGGGTAGTCTTGCTGCTTGATGCTACCAGTGGGCTTTGTCAGATCCCCTGACATCCAGGTTATGTCAAAGTAATTACTTTAAAAGATACTAAATAAGATAATAATAAGATACAGAGTTATTTTTCTTTAAAAGATACCTTTTCAAATGTCTGTGTCCCTACAGTGCCTGGTATCTGTTTCAATATTCTTGGATGATGACTTCAGTTACAGTGTTACTGAGGTTGAACAGGATCAGTCTGAACTCCTACAATCACTACAGGTCAAAAACTGAACCAAACCACAAATATTTGTGCCAGAAAGAGCTCAGATATCTGGGATGTTGCGTAAATGAACATGGAATGAGCCAAGAGGCAAAGGTTATAGTTCTTTTAGGAATTAACCTCCTCAAATCTGTAGCTGAGCTAAGAAAATATTTAAGCATGGCGCAATTGTATTACAATTGGCAGAGGTCCTGCACTCTTTAAATTAAATTCTCAAAGCAGACACTATCTGTCAGTAGGGACATGAATGAGGGACATCAGGTGTATAAACAATGCTTAACCATATCCCCAGTTCTGGCATTCTGTGGCAACCACCAGTGTACTGTCATGGGCGCTGATGCTAGCAGCTGTGCAAAAAATGGAATGTTGCTTTAAGTTCATGGATGAGAGTTGAAGCCAATAGCATATTGTTCCAGAATAGTCAGAAATCCAGAAATATGGTGTGCCCAAGCTGAGAAAGAGTGTCTCACTTTAATGTAGCCTTGTGAATGATTGATGGGCTGAAGTTCTTCCAATTCTATGCAAACTAAGATTGTGCACATTTAAAATGATTTGGAAAAAGTGCAGTGCCTCTGCATTACTAATTAGACAGCTATGTCTTTTTTCCAGACTTTTGCACTAGCTGGGAAAAAGAGGCAGATATGACTATTGTAATTAATAGGAGAGAACTGCTGTGCTTGTGGAAGGTCCAAAGCACTTCTTCCAAATCATTTTCAAAATGTACATAACCCTCATTCAGACAACAAGTCATTTGTTTCCTGGACAACTACAGAGATGAAGAACAGGTATCAGTAATATGCCAGGCACTTCTCTTCCAGATTATGATCTGCAAGCTCATACTTCATTCAACCAAAACACTTGTTTGAACAGATACAGAGGTAGTGGATGACCTGGCAAAGAAGATCAAACAAATTTGGAGAGAGTATACTGAAATTCTGTACAGTAGAGATGTCAGCAAGAAGATACCTTAGAAGATATTCCCCATATACAAGAACCTCTAGTACCAGAATATGAAATCCAATCAGTACTCCAGCCATTACCAAGTTGGAAGGCTATAGGAATTGATGGAATATCTACAGAAATATGGCAAACAACAGAAGAAGAATCAGTTAAGGTTCTAACCAAACTATGACAGCAAATCTGGAGAATAACACAATGGTCAACAGATTGGAAGAGGTTAGTCTACATAACAGTGCAGAAGAAAGGAAATTTAAGAGAGTGTGTGCACACTATTGTATAGTGTCCTTAATTTCACACACCAGCAAAATAATGTTTAGGATCATCCAATGCAGATAGAGAACTATATGGAAAAGAAGATGCTAGATGTTCAAGATGGCTTTAGAAAAGGCCAAGGAAAACAAGACAAGAAAGCCAAAGAATACCAAAAAGAAATCAACATGTGCTTAATTGATTATAGAAAGGCCTTTGATTGTGTTAATCATGTCAAGATGTGGAATAGGCTTAGAACAATGGAAATTCCAGAACATCTCATTGTCCTCATGTGAAACCTAGACATAGGTCAGAAAGCCACATTCTGGATGGAATATGGTGAAACAGACTGGCTTCAAGTTGGCAAAGAAGTGAGACAATATTATGTAACTCTCCCCTTATTTATTCAACGTATAGGCTGTATATATATTGAGGGAAGCTGGATTAGAAGAAGATGAGTGTGGTCTTAAAACTGAAAGAAGAAACATCAATAATCTGTGTTATGCTGATAACACTACTCTAATACCTGAAGATGCAAAAGATCTGGAAGGTCTAATAATAAAAATCAAGGAGCACAGTGAAAAAAATGGCACTCAGTTTAGTACCAAGAATACCAAGCTGATGACAACAGGTACAGCAGCCAGCCTTAGAATTGGCATTCAAGATGGTGGATGCCTTCTGCCTCTTAGGATCAGCAGTAAGGTAACCAGGTGTCAAGAAATATGCTGCAGACTAGCATTTGATAGAAGAACAATGGAGGCCTTGGAAAAGATATTCAGATTCCATGATGAGTTTATATATATAAAGATCAGAACCATGCAGGCAATGG